GACCCACGCCAGAGCGAGTGGCAACAGCTCCCTAAGAATCCGAGACTGTGGTAAAGCCCGCACTTGGAGCAGTCCAATGGGGTAAGGATTTGCCTCCTGTGGATAGGACCTCACGCTTTTGCCGTGAGTAGGGGATCCACTGGAGCAAGGGACAATGGTGTAAGGACTCCTTCTCCTTTAAGGGAGGCGGCAGTAACAACATGCAATAAACTGACCTGCACTCCCCCATTCCCTGCCCCCTGTACCGCTGGGGGGAGGAGGTAGAGCCGGGAAGAAAAGGCAAAGGGGGAGAGTGGTGTTGATTTTAAGTTCTAGCCTTGTTTTCTTGTTATCCTCTCAAGTAACCGTTTTTGTTTGCTTTTCTCTTTGTAGGTAGCTGTTAATAAACTGTTTTGCTTTAAGGAAACTGAGCCTCTTTTGCCTGGGACCGTGGTTGGTGGGTGCTCCTCTGTTCTTGTCTCGACCCTCAGGTCTTTTATTATATTTTTCTCCTCTCCGTTTTACTGGAGTGGGAGAGCTGCGTGGAGTTTAGTTGCCAGATCAGCCTAACCCACGACAATGTGCTTTGGCCCATGTCACTCATAATCAGAAGGAGCTGTAAATAACAAAACATCAAAAAACTTGCATTCCATACTTTTTAAAAGGATGCCATCTTTGTCAGAAGAACAGCCAAACCTCAAAAAGCCTCATAACAAAGGAATGGAAGGGATGCTAAGCTGAAATTTGATTGCTTTCAAGAGCTTCCTAAAGCCAAATCCTTACCAAAATGTTAGCACCCTCGACAGTATTGTTTCCCTCTTAATTAAAGACTAATCTACAATGCCAAAATTATATATAGATTTTCACAAACTTTGACACGGTATGGATTTATCATACTTAGCTTCAAACTTCATTAATTCTTGGGGAATTTGTTTCCCCAAGAACTGATCTGACTTGCTAAGCAACCTCGGGTCTCCCCTCTCTGCCACACTTGTGTTCTGATAAAACTATACCTGAGTATTTCAATTAGGTCAGCTGAAAAGTCTGTACTACCAGAAAGGTGTGACGATTTAGCAGCACAGCTTATTATGATAGTAATAAGGTAAATTCAACCTCTTGTTCTGGTGAGCAATAGTATATACCCAGTGTAACCACCCATGTGTACAGTATGGTACCAAGGAATCTAAAAAATTAAAATAGGATTAGAAACTTTTTTTAGAGGGAACAAACCATAATGTACCTAAATAATAAAAATGTTTACATCCATAAACCTACCAAAATCATGGGAAAAACTGTGATTTGCCAATTACATATGTTTATGAGGCACACTTTGACCCACATAGCTACTTATGGCTAGTTATAAACAGTCCTATGATTTGCTATGACTTTCACAGTCATTTCATCAGGTTTTCTCAGTCAAAAGAAGCCTGGAATCCCTGCCCTGGGATGCCACATCAGGGCCAAATTCCACTAGGAGGGAAGAATGTTCTCCATCACCAAACAAATACCTGTTTGCAAGTATGCCCAAGTAAAATTCAAAAGCTAATAGCTTAATTCATTTTCCACTGTTGCAATACTTCAGAGCAAAATATTAAGGATAAAAATGGAAAAGTAATATGAACTTGGAACTACAAACTGAAGTTTATTTTTAACCAGACTTTGCTGAGGGAGAAAAGAATTAGGTCTTTTTTCAGCTGCAGATCTAGAATTTGTTCATTATTGAAGGGCACAGCTTAGGGCACAAGTATGTTATGGATTTAATTTAAATGTAACCATTGGGCACTTTATCTGTATAGGCGAGTGAGAGGATGGTTCTCTTCAAAGTAGTAATATTCCCAGCACGGGCTGTTTTGTTAGAATATGCCAGTGCTTTGCTTGTTTGTTTTTTTTTTTTTCAAGAGCAGGTAAAGCAGACTTAACTGAGGATACTAAAAGAAATGTATGGCCCAGTGTGAGAGAACAATATGATGCTTCGTAATTGGCTAAGTATCAGGTGCACCATTTATCATCCAGTAATGGACTGGTCATTGATTTTCCTTCGATAAGCTGAAAATATTTTAAGGCAGAGAGCTACACGCTGTTGTTCTGGACCAGAGGCTAGGATGACATGCTGCGCCTGCATGAGAATACAGTTAGCCTGACTTTCAAACTGGATTTCTTTCTAGATTTCTTTTTTGTAACTACTGCAGATGCTGTCAAGACATGCTAGGAGAGGGCTTGTGGTAGGTATTTCTAAAGCTGTAGTCGAAGGTTTCTCCCTCTAACTAGGACTCTGTAAGTTTAATACACAACTTGAAACAAAATGTAGCACCTGAAGTAAGTGCAGACACACTGCTGAAAGTGAAGTATTTTTCTGGCGATACTGTGGAATACATTTTTGAGCCAAAAGTATCAGAATTTATGCAAGCAAATAGAGGGGTGATGGGCTTTTCAAGTCTGTGTTCTGAATCTTTTTGAAATCTCTCTTTGAAATCTCAGCTCCAAAGTATAATAATTTCAAACACTGAGGAGCTAACTCCTTACTTTTCCACATTGTCTTTGTTCATGTGAGCAGTCCCATTAGCTGTACAGAGGTCAAGGAAGCAATTTGTAAAATCAGGAATGACCTGGCTACTTCCTAGCTGTATCAGTAAGAGGTATGAAATAGTTCAGACCAATGAACACCAAACTCCAGATATGACACTTCAGAGACCATTTCACTTACCTTGTCTGAATATGAAAATTGTTTGTGGTCCCAGTATGTTCATAATCATGGACGGCAGCTGCGAAGATCATTGCTAAAATTTCCAGTTCTGTGAGCCAGTGCTGGTAAATGAAAAACAAACCTTAGTCATATTTTCTATAATAGCCTAGTTCAGATTAAACACTACAGTACTGGAAATGTTTTGCATTACCTTCAACTTAAGTAAACTTTATCCCATTCTTATTCCAGGTAACTATATATTCACAACACTTCAGTATTAGACAGTAAAATAATTCTTTGTACTTGTTACAATTACTCTAAGACCAAGTTAATATTGACAAACAAAAAATATAGGAAGTTTTAAGATAATTACACGGTATAATTTGCAGTTGTTTTGAGTAGGAAGTATCTATTCTGCTAGCCCATACATGGCACTTGGCAAATTATGGTGTATTCATTGAAAAACTTGATAAAAAGTTATAATTTGTCTTTTAGTGAATGTAATATGCAGTTCACAATAAATTCTAGGTATAACATCAGAATTAACTATATTTTACCAGTGTATGTAGCACTAAATTTAGGCCCATGGGAGATTTTTCTGTTCTAAATTTTATCATACTTTGTACTAATGCAAAAAAAGGGTGTATAAAGATAGTGTACAGTTACACGGAACAAAAGGTAATACAGATCATGTATACAAAATAATTCAGACCCTAGAGTTTTGTGCACTTTTACACCTCTTGCTAACTGAGGTGCTCTGTATTGCTCGGTTTGAAAAATGTCCTGTTATTTTATCTTTCAAGTTCTATTTCTTGAATAATAAATCATCTTTGAGGAGAAAATTTACTCCATCTAAAAACAGGGGCAGAAAAATCATATAATTAACCCCCGCAGTCACAGGACTGATTAAATCAAACGCCAGTCAAGCATTTCCACACATATTTCTGATTTTTTTAGTGTAGAAGTAGGCTTCAGTACTAAAGGATCGAAGAATGATCTCATCCTTATGCACTCATATATGCACATACATGTTTATAAAAGCATGCAAGATGTATAAGCTGCCAGAACTAGTATAAGCCGCCAATAGTAGTACTTATTTTGAAGAAGAAGAAAGGAAACAGTCAAGATTCATAAGTCATGTGAGAATAACGAGATAGGTCATTCAGCGACAAAATAAGACTGCTGAGGAACAACAAGTTCTGGCTGTTGGTGAAGCAGTATAGATTAAAAAAGGTCACAACAGAGGAATGAGAATGTACTGTAAGCAGTGCTAAAAATGGAAACGATGACCTTCATCGTACTATGTGTCACAAGAAACCAGGCCATGACCGGTCCTGGCTTTCACAATGTTTTCAACATACCAAATAGAATAGAAACCCAGAAATTATTAGTAACCAAAGCTAAACATAAACTTTTTCCTTAAGACACCTTTTCAAAGATCAGCTTTTTTAGTAACCAAAATAGTTGCTAGACAATGCATTTATAAGTAGAAGAGCATTCCTTACACACAATATCTGTGGGCTACACAGAAACTTCATATGGTACTATATGAGAGCAAGTATTCTAGAGACTGTATCTGGAGGTCTGCAAGACTGCAAAGAGCTGAAATCTGTTTCCCTCCTGGAAGATACTATGCCGCGCAGGTGGAACACCTATAGGAAAATCTCTCTTCTATTAAGAGATGTTTTCCAGTATTATAAATTGCTTATAAGTAAATAGATACATTTCAACTTTAAATGATCTCTGGTTCAAGCTATATTTTTAAACAATGATGGATTGAAAAAATGAGTAAGAAAGGGAGTCTCACAAAGCACTTATTGACAGTAAAGACATTTTTTTTCCTTTAGTTTGAGCAATACAGGTACGTGGGAGGAGAAAAGGGATGGTGGGAAGAGATCGATGACTCAAAAGTTCTTTACAGTATGTATTCCCTGGGACTTGGATTCTTAAATCTTTGTGAATATAAAGACTTCATAAATGCAAGCTTGAGTTATATATTTCAGTCACATCATCTGGGATTTAATCTCTTGGGAAGGTTAATAGATTGTGTGCCATCTGTGATATCTAACTTTCTAACACACTGATCTGAGGTGGCTGGATCTTGCTTCTTAAGACAGACAGTAACTTTTGGAAAATACAATTATTTTATTTCTTTCAGTGTGACTCTGAATATGTGTTATTGTTCACTGGAATCTCTCTAAAGGCTTGTGTTGATGCATAAACTCTTACCAGCCAAACTTTTTGGCTGTTTTCCAGGTGCCTATAAAAGATACAAGATGTATGACCTTAACAACAGGAATAATGAAAAGGATTTTCTAAACCCCAGCTTTTTTAAACATTTGCTTCATATGTCTTTCGGAAGTGAACAAGGAAGACAGCAATTCTTTGCAAGATTTGGGAGTCAGAATCAGTTCCTTAAGATAAGAACGAAAGCACAAGAACTTCAAATTGCATGCCAATCTGCAAAAACCACACAGCAATTTGATATAGAATTGCATCAAATTGACTCTAATTCAGATATTTGTTAGCAGATACAGTAGAGCTAAAAGAGGCATTACAATGGACATACTCTGAAAACTATTAGCCTGAGAAGCAAACTACAAATTATTCTTGAAGAGGGTTCTGTAGGGTTAACCAAGCAACAGGAAAAAAACTCAACAAGTTAAATAGAACATTTGAATGATACTGATGCGTTCTCAAACTCCAAATGACATTTGGGACAGAAATACTTTGCAAGCTGCAGAATCACCAGGCCTTCTTTCAAACACTGATTTCTATAAACGTTCCTTCTTCCTGGCAAGCTACATCTGTTTGAAGGCACTCTTGATGAAGTGTTGTCCTAGTTAGACATCTTTCCAAGAACTTTCCAATATCATAATTCAGCACTTCAAATGTGAATATTTAAAACCTGGCCTAATTTTGTAAGAATATTTTGTAGCAGCATTGCAGCATTAATGAGGTTTTACAGCAAAGTAACAGAAATATAGTCTAAGCTTTTCTGAAAATAGTTGTTCAAATCACATTAAAGTGCAGTTACAAGTTTAAGATGTTAACATTGCAAAACTTGAGTTGGAGAGGCCTTTCACCCGAAGAGTGTTGCAAAGTTGTTTAATCAATGGCTAAACATTCCAAACTGACTGGGATAGCTCTGGAAGTTGGAACCTTGTCCTGGCATCACAAAGAAAATATGGATGCTACTGTCTTTTTCAAAGGGCAGAGGGGAGCAGTTACAACGGGCCAAAGAGACATTTATAATGTGTAATACAACAAAGGGATATTCTTCCCCATTAAGCTGCTGATCCAGATGTATACCTGAAACAAAGACATATCTCATATCCCTTAATGCTTGCAGTTGATCTTACAGTAGAAGACATGGGTAGGATAGGAACCATGATCTAATCTCTGTAAGATTTTTCTTTTATTAAAATATTATTTTGATATTATTTTGATTCTGAACATCTTATACTACAACTTTGGCTTGGAGTGATCTTGGCAAGAGCTGTCTAGCCTATGCTTCAGTCTGGTATGGAAGTCCTTTCTCAAGCAAACATCTCAATGAGAAAAAGGAAACTTGGCTGCTGAAGACTCCAGGCTTCACTCTGCAAGTAGCACTTGTGTTAAAATGTAGCTTTAAAAACTTCATGCTTAGAAGTAAAACCCTTCTTGCAAACACTAGAATTAAACCCTGCAGTGCCTGGGTATTTGTTCTTGCCTCCGCTGAAGCCAAAGGCAAACTTCCAGTGAGAAAAGGCTTAACATAAGTCAATGACTGTCATTTATTATATATCTATTGGAGTACAAACATTTAGAGTCAGCCCCAAAACCAGAAATCAGACACTATTACTTCCTGTCTTTTTTTGTTATTTTTTTTTAAACAAATGTATTCATAGTGAAGACAAATCTCCATAAAGTCATTGACAGAAACGTCCATTTTCTTTCAGTCAGTATTTACTTTTGTCTAGCAAACTGATAGTGAGGAGACTCCCACTGCTGGTACTAAATCAAAGGTAAGTGTTTAGAGTAAAAACGCTTGCACAGATTCACTTCAGTTCCCAAAGCAAATACTAAAAAATATCAGGATATTGCAATAGCGCCAGGCAAATGCAATCTCTTGTCTACTTTAGGCACATACAGTATGCAAGAGCAGTCCTAAATAAGGTTATAAACTAAAAGAAATAGCAGCTGCAGAGCATTTCAGTAAGCCTGCACTAATTCCATATATCTTTCCACGGCCAGGACCTCAGCAGATACTAAAGCTTCCTTGCCTGATCACACCTCCCAGGCTCTGACGTGGAAGCGAAAAATTCTCACCTGCCCACTCCTGCAAATGTATCTCTTTCAGTATGATATATAATGCCCAAGACCAGGCAATGAAAAGTAAAAACGATTTAAGGAGGACTTTTTTTCCTATTTTTTCCTCTGCATCAGGAGATTTCCAGACTGGAGAGACTGTTAAAATGACATAAAGTTCACAGCCTGAACAGTAGTTTGGAATTTATGTCTGCGTAATTTTCAAGGGACCTTTTTCCTTAAGAAAAGACAAACATACACATGTATCCAAAACAGCAGTCTGAGAAAAGAAGTAAATTGAACTTTTCAGTATTTCTTACCATGATACCAGTGTGAATCATTATGTAATGCACAGTTTGAGTAACATCAGCTGCATGGATCAAATTGTGATATGGATTTTTGTATTTGCTGTAACCTATCTCAAGAGCTTCAGCAAATGAAATAAGATTGGGAACAGGGATCTAGGAGGAAGCAAAAATTAAAATAAATGTTTTTTTTCCTGCAACAGGTGCAAAGTCAATCATGTAATAAATAAACCACAAATAAATAAACCACAGAATTTAACCAACAAACAAAAAAGGTGAAATTTAAAATGTTAAAAAAATTAAAAATCTAATATCTTACATGCATCAAGGAGTCTTCACCCAATTCTTATAAATGATGTATCCCTCTACATACACCATGCACAGCATGTGGTTAGTGTACAAGAAACTGCAGAGCTATCAAGCAAATAGTTTTCAAGACATGTCTGTCTGTACCAGGAATGCAGAGATTGCTCACATAACAAAGGCATGACAGATACGAGTCTAACAACAGGATTATCTCCTTTTCTTCACCAGTTTTACCTTGCCTGAGACAAGGTTTCCTTGAATCTGATAGTATGCCTTCCCTTCCTTCTCTTCCTCCAGGCAATGTATGAAGTACGGGTATTATCTAGTCCCATCCTTTTTCCCATATCATGAAATGATATTTTCCTTAAGATTTTTTTCTTTATTTAAAAGCCCTGCAAGTTAAACAGTAGGACTGAGAATGGGCTTAAGCCCAGTGAGCCAGCAACATGGTGTACTCTCTGACTGTGTTGCTAGTGGTTGCCCTGGTGTGGTTCTGACTTCAAGTACTCAGAGCTTGAAGGTAAAAGCTTGATGCGAAAAGCTGAGTCTGGGTTATTGGTTAAAATCAAAATATTCAAACCAACTTCAGAGTGAGGCAGCCTCTTCAAAAGGAGCATGGTGTTCTGCAGTGGGGAAACTCTGAAACTATAATGAAACTTTCATTCGGTACTATCATAATGATAAATTTGGTATTTTGATCCATTTTTTTGTCTCAGCCTTTCAAAGCTGGTTATAAGTGCTCCATATTGTATTGCAACACCCTGAAAACACCATGGAAAAGTAGTCTTCTCTTTATATATCCCCCAAGTTGGTTAGGAGAGGAAGGTTCAGCTGAAGCCCCTGCACAGTAGTGGGCAACATATTATGATCTAGACCATGAAAACATACTTAGGACTAACTACAGTTTTCTGCCTTATTAGGAATCTTTGATCCATGAAGCTGGGGCACTGATTCAGTACTGCTGAGTAAACAGGCTGTATACATAATCATAGAACCATAGAATGGTTAGGGTTGGAAGGGACCTCAAAGATCATCTAGTTCCAACCCCCCTGCCATGGGCAGGGAAACCCTCCACTACACCAGGTTGCCCAAAGCCTCATCCAACCTGGCCTTGAACACTTCCAGGGATGGGGCATCCACAACTTCTCTGGGCAACCTGTGCCAGTGCCTCACCATAATCTGTCTATTTAATACCTACAGCATTTAGCTGCTCACTAGCAACATCCCGACCCAAACTGACCTGACACAGGTGTACATAGCTTTCCATTTTTTAGGTTGCATAAAAATTTGCACGCTCTGGGTGAAGATCCATTTGGTAGAACTATTGGCATATTACGATTCGACATATTCTTCATACAATAAAATATCATTTCTAACATATCCTGGGCTTCTTGTATTTTAAATTTGACATACTTATTTTTGCATACATATTTTTATTTGTGGCTAGTTTCTGACCTTGAAACGGCTCAAAAGGTCATATCGGGTAAACAGCTCATACATCATAAATTTCAGACTGTGCTCTCCACTTGCTTCATTTAGGGCAAATACATCAAAAGACCATTTGTCAACCTCCTGTAGATGAGGGGGAAAGAAAAAGAACATAAGTTTCCATTTGTTTAAGTAGGTTTCCAGTTAGTCACTGGAAAAGATATTTTGGGGTTTCTGAGGAGGTAGGAGGAGAGTTTGGTGTTTTTTTGTTGTTCGGCTCTTTCAAACTTCTACTGTATATAACATATCAATGACTATTGCAATATTAATGATGAAAATAGTTGTACCAGTTATGAATAAAACACTTGTAACATGACCTATGCAACTTTATATGCTTCAAATCATTCAAATTTAACTTTCTGCCTACAAATTGTCTATAGAAGCTAATGTGAACATCCATTCTTTAAATGGGCTATTATGCAACGTCATTAATACTAATAACATAGCCAATTTGTGAATAATATAACAGTGTTTGACTTTCAGGAGAAAAGATGAGGCACTACATTCTCAAGAAATACCGTTTTTCAATTGCATACATAGCCACAGGAACTTTACTACCATGAAAGATTGCCTTTTGGGTGAACTACAGTAATGCCTTAAATTCACAGCAAATACTGTACTTGTTCCATAAGCTGCAGCTTCTTTTGTTAGCTCTGTCCCAATACTACTTCTGCTTTTTTCTTTCTTAAAAAGGAAATAAATTCTGCCAAGACATGGATTACCATACCACTGGGAGCTGATAAAACCATGTCTCACATTTCTATTAAAATTTCCATATAAATTTAATCCTATTGCTCTAATAACATCTAAATGAAACCACAACTAATCAGTTGCTATTTGTGAATTTTTAACTATTAATTTCTCTGTTCTATGTGCGCAGTTCTGTAGTACTAACTATGGATAGGGTATGTTCGTATGTTCAGTAGAAAAATATATTCATTTAATCCTAAAAGTCATAAAATATGAGTACAAATACTTTCAAATTCCACAATGATTAAAATTATTTCACCTTAAATGTTACTATCACTTCTGCTGGGTAAGCCAAACCAACCATGCTAGAAGTTCTTCGGTACATCCTAGAAGAACAAATAAAATATGAAGTAATAGCATTCCTTTAAAAAGTACAGGAACAATTTCTCTTTGTTTAATTAATCTTCCACAGTTTGTGAAATAGCACTAATCTATTTAAGGGTCTGATCCGAGAGATGACATAAGTCTTTTTACAAACTTATGAGAAAAGCCCCTCTGCTGGTGTATTACTCTTTAACATTAGTGCAGTCTTTGGTACATTTTCATATAGAAGTTTCCAAGCTATAAAGTTCATTCCCAAAGTCCAGGAAATTTCATTACAAATTCAGAGATTTCATCTGGATTTCTGCATAGAAAAATGTAGCAATTACAGAAATTGAAACCTAAATCCTGGCTCAAAGATTTGCTTCAGGTTCATCGCACCACTTAAAGGATCTTCAAGAACAGGCATTGTGGTTAAGTGCAGTACTTGCTATAATAAGAAAATAAAGCTCTCACCTTTCTACAAAAATCCCAGCCTGCACGGCATGCACAATGCTTCGGAATTTGGGCTTTTCTTCAGGTCTCCTCTTCACTATTCCCATTTCCCTCGTGAATGTAGAAGCTAACCAGTCCCGCACTTCCAGCGGGACCGAATCCGACTGGATGTCAGAGAGCTCATCCTCAGTGTCCAAAAGCTTCCTACAAAAAAATTAATAAAAGGTAACTGAGAAGATGGCAGACTGAAGCAAAAGGAGTGTGGACAGGTGATCATCTAACAAAAATTAATTTAACAGGAGTGGAGGTCATCTGTAGAATTGACTCAGCAGATCACTATATGTCTTCTCTGGCAGACATATCGAGGCCACCGGGAAGCTGGGCACAGCAGGTATCTTCCCTCTCTGCTCCTGCTCACATTCCAAAAGGTAAAAGATACTTAAATGGAAAATATTCAAGTAAAGGCAAGTGAAGTCTTTTCTAGAAAGATGTCACAGTTTAGGTGGATTGAAGTGTAAACAATGAGTTATAAAATCCTGAGGAGAGGTCTAAAACTGGCTGACATGAGAACTGCCGCTATAACTGAGAATACCAGTGGTCCATCCATCTGTCCTCCAAAATGGTACAAAAAATGTTTTGACACTTGCATGCAAAGTAAATTGTATTACATAGCAATGTTATGGAGAATGCATTTCAATGAGCACACCATATACCTGTTCATCATATTATTCTAGTGCAATAAAAGTATTAAAGAGAATTAATTCCTTCTGTGTGGAGATCTGTATTCCTATTGAAGGCAGGGTAACAAAATCATAGCAGTAAAGATACCACACAAGATTGGATTACAAGTTAGCTTTCACAGTTCTTAGTTGTCCAACAAGTTTGAAAAGCTATGTATACCTCTTGCAAAATAGAAAAAGTATTAAAAAGAAACTTCACTTCAACAGAACTGAATTCTGTTGAAGAAACACGTAATTACATATTTTCTGAAAACAGACTCAATACTTGAATTCAATTCTACGCTTCTATAAACCTTGCTGCTATTTGCCCATATCACTCAGCCTGCTGGGGTTTTCCAAGAACCAAATCCCTCATTTAGTCAGATAACAAGTTTTCCTTCATTCGATTGCACAAGAAACTCCAGAGTTAGGATGACCTGAATATATGTAAAGCCTGCTACTCTTTTAAAATGTTTTATTTGAAGTGGTACCAATGGAATCGCAAGCATTATTTGATTATATAGATCTATTTCTCTGGTGATGTCTTTCTGAAATGCTCGAGTTTTTGTGAATTGGAAACAAAGCAATGACGGACAAAGTAACATTTTCTTATCAGACACTCTGCTTGTCAAGTTAAAACTTGAGTCTCCTCTCCTGAGTGAACACGATTCCTGGGAAATATTTTCAGTGGGAATTCAGGCAACAGCACTTGAAGATGGGTATTTGTGACAGGAAAATTATCACTTCCTTTTCCATTTTCATGTTGTCACCTTTGACACTGTCTTTTGTTTCTACTCTTAGTGTAACTGCTGATTCTTAACCTTATTTGTGCACTTTCTCCTCATATTCTGTGGCTTTTTCACACCTTTTGCTTTCTCTGTTTCTCTTCTTCAACATTTTCAAAACCTTGCCTAATCCAGGTCTTCTCTAGTATATAGAGGAATGGAGCACCAACGTGGATGATGAAGAAAAGTCTGAATACAGTATAGTTCAAAGGAATCTCCATGTAAACCTAATACTATCTGAGGAATTATAGGAAGATGCTTAGTAGAAAGCACAATACCAGAAGTATCATAAAAATTATTTGCGCATAGAGAGCGTAGCACATTTGTGCTCATCTGCCCTGTACTCAGTTTCAGCAGCTCATCTGCCTGGCAACATATTTTTTGAGACTTTTCAACTGGTGTTTAAAAAAAAATCCATATAATGCCCCCAACAACACCACCGTTTACTGAAAAAACAGCAGGAGTGTTCCTGTTTTTTAGGGACATAGAATTATCAGACTAGGAAGGCTCTTTAACACAGAGTGCAGGAGGGGCAGAGTGGACAAGAATTACGAGATTTTCTGATGGTAAACACAAGCCAAAAGTCAGTAATTTATTCTGAAGGAGGAGGACTTGTGTAGAGGAAAGGATTTTGGCAAATTATCTTGCAAAACTGAAACAAGGCTGAGACTGGCCGTAGGTCAAAGGCTATAAACTGATTTTATTCCCTAAATTAAAAACTATACTTTAGTCCACTTAAATCCCTACTAGTCTAACACTGTCATTCAATATCCCTGGAGAGATCAGTACATTTGTATTTCCAAGGAATATTTGACATTTTATGTATTAGTAGTATAATCAGGAATAACCTTTACAATCCCTAAATCATATTTTTGGAGCTACTCCAACTTTTACCCAAATGAGATGGAATCACTCCAGCAATAAAAGGACCATGGGTGTTAGGCTGCCTCAGAGCACGCAGCAGGGATATTCCACATCACCTGTGCAGCACAGAGCAGAACTCTACCTTGCCATAGTCTGATGCAGATCTCAATTTGGGACCAAGCTCTCAGCTCTGCAGATATGAGTGACTGGAGTATAAATTAAGGCTAGAAAGATACACTGCAGTTTCTCTAACCTTTTTACCATTCATCTGTAAAACAGCAGGACTATTAAGTCTGTTAATGATAGCAATAGGGGTTACTTCATGAAGGCAGAACAGAAAAAACAGCATTTGAAAAAAGTGTTTGTTTAACCAGTAATTTTCATGAGACTACTGCTCTCTGATGAGAGGTGGCTGATGACAGAGAGTTTCAGTATCTCTGGTTCCTACTGAAAAAACAAGGAAAGCAACTGCAACATAGAATTATGTTGTAAGCACAATCCTTTGTAAGTACAAGCTCTTATAGATCCCTCAACACATAACCTGAGTAACTTCTCAAAAAGAATTGGTTTCTTTCAGAAGCCTAACTGAAACATCATTTAAGGAGAGGAAACAAGGGCTATTCATTCATCTCATAACTATCTATTTTCTACACTTTCCTGACCTTTTTGAAGAATAAGATTTATATTGGGGAAAATTATTCATAGCATGTGCACTGCTAGAAATGGCCTTTGAATGAATTCACTAATGATGGCCATTCTTCTGTAATTACAGGGACAGGGCTCATATATGGTTCTACATATCTGAATAAATGGAGGGTTAGATGGATATATAATTGTACAGTAATTTTATTCAGGAAGGAAAATAAATTAGGCTATATATTGCACCATACAAACTATGCTTAATTATCACAAATTCTTAGAAGCCAATATTCAACTCATTTCATAGTTTGTAACTTTTGTCAACTTTTATTAATCTATTTATACCTTAATTATAAAATATAGTGTTTCCATTACATTTCCATGGGTGTGCATATATATGCATACACGCACAACACTGTGGATTCTGTGAAATACATGTAATCGCTCACCTTTTACTCGCCGATTGTGAAAACACTTCTTTAAAGTAACCCAAATAAAGTAAATTTCTACTTTGAGACATAAAAAGATCAAATTGATTTTATCAGTAATTTTACTTACTATTTACAAGATACACATATACATTTTACTAAATGTAACAAAAAAAATATTCAGTAGAAGTATCAGAACTTGCACATATTATCCAGAAATACTAACAGTATTTCAGCACTTACATTACAATAATATCTGAAATTTTCTTTTTCACACAACGAGAATGAGTTTTTAATCGGCCACCACGACGTTTTTTTGTATGAATCTTGTTCTTTCTACATCGAACCATTTTGCAGCTTGTTAGCCGGCCCCCAGCCTGTTGATGTACATCAACTGCAGTGAATGTATCGAGTGAATCACAGAGCCCCTACATGCCTGTCCTTCTTGCTGTTACTACTTCTGTTGCTCAGAACTTAACTGCAGCAAAGGTTGACTCTTTGAGCAGATGTATTATAACACAACTCTGATGCAATCACTGAGGATTATGACATCACATTGTGGTTTAACCATGGCCGGCAACAAGACCCCGCACAGCTGCTCACTCTCTCCCCTCCAGTGGGATGGGGAAGAGAATCAGAAGGGTGAAAGTGAGAAAACTTATGGGTTGAGATAAAGACAGTTTAACAGGGAAAGCAAAAGCCACATGTGCAAGCAAAGCAGAACAAGGAATTCATTTAGCACTCCTCATCGGCAGGCAGATGTTCAGCCATCTCCAGGAAAGCAGGGCTCCATCATGCCTAACAGTTGCTTGGGAAGACAAATGCCATCACTGCGAATGTCCTCCACTCGCCCTTCATCCTTCTTTCTGTCAGCTTTTATTGCTGAGCAGGACATCATATGGTCCAGGATATCCCTTTGGGTCAGTTGGGGTCAGCTGTCCCAGCTGTGTCCCCTCCCAACTTCTTGTGCACCCCCAGCCTCCTCGCTGGTGGGGTGGTGTGAGAGGCAGAAAAAGCCTTGACTCTGTGTAAGCGCTGCTCAGCAACAACTGAAACATCCCTGTGTTACCAACACTGTTTTCAGGACAAATCCTAAACACAGCCCCATACCAGCTACTGTGAAGAAAACTACCCCAGCCAAAACCAGCACACAGAATTATTTTTCATAAATTCTACAACACAATATTGTTTATAATTACTGGGAAAAACCAACAGTTTGAAGTGTACATTCAGAACATTTTTATTCCTGAGTGTTTCTATTACTGCTATTTTAATCCATATCTACTTAGAACTGACAACTTTCAAAAGCTTCAGTAAAATCAGTGAATCAACAGGAAGTTATTGGTGTTTGAGTTTTGCCTGATCAAAGTTATTGCCCTGATAAATGGGAAATATATTTTTAAATTCTGCATTTTGTAATTCTACTTTTATGTAGACTTCTTGCTCTGACTTGCCACTTCAGGAATCACAGGTGAATAGGTAAATTATTATTAAAAATGATTATTCAGGATGCCTTTAAATTAAAAAGAGAGAGACAGTGAAACAGTGTCGGAAGACAGGGTCAAAACAAAGACAAACATAGTTAAACCACTGAATTTCCTGTCAAATATTATGGAGATTTTTGTAAGATTTTGCAATATAATTTGTAATTGTAAATTGTAAAAGGTAATTTGTAAATTTTAATGTAATTTTGCAGCATTTTGCAATATGTAAACTTTTACATAGGTTCAAAAATGCCATTGGTGAAATTAATGAGCAATATAACAAGT